TCAGTATAATATTAATATTTGTGTATAATTTATCAAGAAGATGAGTAATAGCTTTTGAAATATAATATTAAAGCGAGAATTTCAAATTTTCTAAGAAAGTCAAAACATAATTATTTCTATGTCTTTTGCTCAATAGGTTATCAAATCACTATTATACGATCATGGGCATTATTTCCCAGTAAATATACTTTCATTTAATGTGAAGGCTACACATATTTTATGAGTGTAGTCGATGAGAAAATGAGACGCGGTGTAGTGTGTGTTGTATGTTACTTTTCTAATTTGTGATATTCAAAACGTAACATTAAACAATTTTCATTCATTTTTACACGAATAATATTATATTATATAGCATATCCATCATGATCAGAACACATCGCTAGAACACTAGTGATCTCGTTGAGAACCACTGAGATCTCACATAGAATACGGTGTGTTCTTTTTAGACCTATGTGTTCAATATTAGAACATACATGACGCGTCATGTGTTCAGCTATGTTTAGAGTGTATTGACAACATGGGGCAGCCATTTTCCAACGTTGAAATTTGAAGTTAAAAATGATATTTTTGCCAATTTCTCAGCTGGCAATTCTTTAACAAGGTAGGACTGTTTATGGATACCATCTATTTTAAGGCTTTATTTTAATACATTTTAAAAATATAACTTGAAAATTTGCAATTTCCGCTTTAATAAAGATTACGCAACACTGGTTACTCAAAGTCTACATCAGATAAGCCTGAAATGAAATGTTATTATTTTAATGAAAAGGGTCTTTCTTCTGACAAAATGCGTTCTTGTTGTTAGTTAGTTGTATTTTACGTCCGCTTCCACCGAGGTGATATGCGTTCTTAGAACGTTGTAATTTATATAGTGTTTTATAGTACGCAGCTGATAAGATATAAATATAACCTAAATTCCTGATGCCCCATTTTAAGCAATAGGAATCACTTGCAAACTACATTAATATACACGATGAATCTTTAATGGGAATATTAGTCCAATAAGGGATAAATTCCGTTTATCGCCATTTTAAAATCGTGGATTTAGCCGTGAGAAATTTGATATTTAAACGACAAATGCCAATGGCGCATCGTTACTTTAAATTTTTATTCATTTTTTTTTTCAAATTATTTATTTTCATTTATTCAATTTCAGATTATTCTTCACGGTCGTAATTTTGACCATAAAGCATATATCACTGAACAATTAGCCAGTATTGATTAAAATTTGCTTTGAAAACTTCCCATTCATGTAATCTCATGATGTGTATATATCAAACCAAATCGTCAAGTTTTATAATTTTAAAATGTTTTCTTCTAATTCATGACAATATCATTGATGTTAAACACAATACAACCTAGCGATTGTTCCACTCACTAATTCATTTGATCACCAAACAAAACTCATTTCTTATACGTCAAGCGATACATTCGCTTTTCACAGCCCAGATCTTATGATGGAATCTAAAATATTTCAACACGTTACAGATGATGAAACCCTATTAAAGTTTTCTACAGAAATTCTTTAGAAGCAAATTAATTTTACACCTGATTTTTTTTATCTTTCAAGTAAAGGCAGATTTCCACAAGTTATTTTGCTACATTACAGAGACGCATTTTGTTTGTAGGAAGAAATTGCATGGCCAACATAAAAGTGGATATTGATGTAATCAATACTGGCCCCTTTAATATTCGACCACACAGTTCATCTGAAGTAGAAAAGGAATATATCGATAAGTAAGGAATTAAACAAATTAGGTATATTGATTGTAAGTCCTCAATCCTTACAGTTCCCTAGTTCTCATAATTCCTAAGAATGATACTACACATAAACTTGTATTATTTGATTTCGTTGCGTTAATAAACGGTTTAAATCTCCCTTTCTGTACACTCTGCAGAAAATCGGTCATTGTGAATTAACTATTGTTCTGAGTTAAAATCAACAATTTACCCATTGCCTTTGTCATCTACTGCTCATAGAATTGTGGTGGTAAACCTGATAACTTTAAATGTTTAACGTAAGGTTTTGGCATTTCACCAGCTATATTTTAATCACAAATAATTGAACTTAAATCTGAGATAAATGTAAGCAGATAACTGTGTACAACTGATATCATATTTAGTAACGATTTACAAAAGACATCTTCAGTTGATATTTGAAGCATTAATCAAGAATGGTCTGAATGTTTGTTTTTTATTATTATTATTTCAAACTAAGGGGTGGGGCGAATGGTTAGTACGTGCGCGCTGTATCATACGGTCTGTCATTGAGTCAACTGGCTGGGTTTCGATTCCCCGGTTGTACGTGACAAGGAGTAGGGTCGCCTGTCCAACCTCGTGGGTTTTCTCGTGAACCATGTGTTAGTCCCGAAATGACCTAGTTTGTGTCGAGTGGACGTTAACACCCTCTCTCTCTCTCTCTCTCTCTCTCTCTCTCACCCTCTCTCTCTCTCTTTATTTCAAACTAAGATTTAACTAAGACATAGACTACAAATAAGAACCGTTTAATCACTATTCAACAAAAGAAGTGCGAAGATTCATCGGTGCTGTAAATTATGTTTTAAATATCTTGCATACAATTAGCTTTTCAGCCAGTATTTAAAATATCTCCAAAAAGTTCTATTTTCAAGCAGTTAAAAAGCTTCCAATCAACCCATTTGTTTTTTATTTGCCTCGTAAATTTAGGGTACTAGTTCCGCGTGTTTTTAATGCGCTGGAGAGATTACTTCAATATTACTCTCAAAAGTTTTCGTAAACGATACAGTGTTTCCGATATAATCTAAAAGGGGGTAGAGTTTAATGGTTATGTGGATTATTCATCCTTTCACAGTATGAACCAATCGCCTTAAGAAATTGATCATTAAACTATCATGATGCGTTCAAATTTGGGTTTGAAATTCATCTGTAGTTATACATCAGTCTGTTTCACCTAATCAGTTATCTAATGAAACATATTTGTGTCTGATAAATCAACTAACGAAGAAATCACAAATAATAAAATTATTCATCATTATAATTGTGACAACATCGTCACAACTCATTTTCCTAACGAACAAGAATTGGACAAATCGATGAAATTTTTCAGAAAGACCATGATGGTTCGTGATAACAATGTGTCTGTTGATATCAACAAACTGTTTTAGAATAGGAAATTTCGCCTCATTTCAAGCAATTTCTTGCGTCATGGGATATTACCTAATGACAAAAATAATATGAAAAGTGTGATGCTATTTTATTTAGATTTCTCACGCCTAATGATGAAAACTTCAATTTACAGTTAGTTATTCCTGAACCGGTGTGTTAAATTCATAATATTGTAAATGTATATCACAATTGTCAAGATTGTAATCACCAGGAAACCGGAGGACCAGGAGAAAACCCAGGAGGTTGGACAGGCGATCCTACCCTTGTCACATACAACCGGGGAATCGAAACCACGCCAGTTGACTTAATGACAGACATTATGATACAACGCGCACGTGCTAGCCATTCATGGCAATGAGTAGGGTCGCCTGTCCAACCTCGTCGGTTTTCTCCGGGTCCTCCGGTTTCCTCCCACTGCTAAAGACCCCTACGCGCAAGCGAATTATGTAAATAAAATTAAAACCATATGTTACTCCCGAAATGACCTAGTTTGTGTCGAGTGGACGTTAAACCCCATTTCTCTCTCTCTTCTCGCTAGCCATTCAGCTATCCACTCCCACTCTATAGCACTTTGGTAGTTAGTATATGCCACGTACACTCCTATGCAGTAATAAAGGATGTTCTTGCAAGAATCACGAAAGAGTTTTCGTTTCCTATGGTGTTTTATAGCAACCCCCAGGTGGTTTTACGTCTCAAGATGAACTCAAACAAACAATAGCCATATTGATAGAATTCGTTAACAAGACAATATGTCGACTGTCACTTTCACCTGCTCTCTTATAGAACATCCATTCTAAATGCCATCATTTTGCAGATGCTCGATTTTTTTTAACAAATGGAAAAATCTTGTTTTGGATTAGTTTTTTTGTCAAGTAAAACCCCCACACAGTTTGCTCTTGTAATAACAACGAGATACATATAATATGAAGGGAATTAGATTACCATGACATATGGCCAAGGCAAGATACAACTAAATAAAAAGGTTCTGTATGAAAATAATAAATATTTTGCGCCTTTCTTTAAAATATTGAAAAATACACACGTTAAACCGTTGTCACATGTTCTTAATGTCAAGAAAATTAAATGAGATAAAGTGTCGTTTATTCTTAAAAGCTTTGTCGTTTATAATATTATGGCTGTCATATTCTATCAGTGTCAAAACGCACGATTAATTTTCATGTATGAATATTCTCTGTATTTTTTGTAATCTTCACATACTGAAAACAAAGATTCAACAACTTTGAACTGCTTGCTCGATTGGCAGGACAGTTGGAGCGGAATTCAGATAGAGTTAAACAATGGCCAGACCATGTTCCTCCCGTGTCAGTACATGCTCCTTTGTTGTTGTTGCTTGGAGGGCTTAACGTCCGCTTCCACCGATGGTGATATCGCAGACAAGTAGTATTTATTTTACTACATTTAGCACATGCGCATGGATATTTTCTGTTGGCACAAACCGGAGTACCCAGAGTAAATTTTGTGGCGAAGAAGGCGTCCCAATCTCGTTTGTACCTTGTTTCAATTAATATAGATAGGTCACTTGAACTGGTCCCAAAGCTCCTACTTAAGATAACGATTAGGGATTTTATTATGCATTTCAGTTGCTTGTCGTAAGCTGTTTGAAGATTTTATTGAAATTTGTCTAGATTTAAAAAAATAAAACAACTGATATCAGCTTACCAAGATGGCATTACCAACCAAATCGTACTTCCTGTGACGTAACACACTAAGATTTGGCGTCATATAAATAGATAAGGAAAATAATGTGTTTTTTGCGGCATGGAACATGCAAAATGTTAATTTTAAAAATAAATTTTCTAGCATTGGTAAGGTTAATATTTGTGTTTTTGTTTTAGGTTTATATTATGAGAACGGTTATGATAAACCAGCAATGGATGATGTGATTAAGATGACAGTGGATATTTGGGCGACAGCTTTAAACAATATGGCGATCGATATGATAGCTGGTAAAGTGAAACCAGCACCAATAAATCAAGGTTGTAATTCAACTGGTAGTATGTTCTGGAAAGGTGGTGAAAGCATATTTAGGTAAAACATATCATATTATGTGTACCAGAAATAACTTGCTTTAGTTGATGAAATCAAATAAAGTTAGACAACGATACATATTAGTACATTGTGGTTGATTGTATCTCATGAATCCCAGGGGTCAATCTATGACTCATTCGCTTATCTTATTTATAAGAAATTGCGGGCTTGGGGTTCTTTAGGCATCATCATGCAGCGTTCCTAGACAGATCATAGAACTAGTATACTAGCATTAGGGCTCGAGGTTTGAATTAAACATTATTGGGCATACGTAACCTTAGTTCAGGGCTCGAATATTATAGCTCTTGTAACCGTTGTAGTTTCTTGTGTATATTATGGTAATATAAACACGGTTTTAGAACTTATTATGGTGTTCAAAAATTGTATTCATTGATTATTGAAAGTGCTACACAACGTAAAGTAAAGTGACGTCCCTAATGAATATCAACGAAAAAAATAAGGAACACAAGATACCCCCCCCCCCTCCCCACTAGATCTTATTAGAGAGAGAGAGAGAGAGAGAGAGAGAGGGAGTACAACCGGGGAATTGAAACCACGTCAGGTGACTCAAGTCGGAGACACAGGATAGTGTCACATTGTTTATTTAGTTGATGTGGGATAGAATATTGTCACGTTGACGATTTAGTGCCATATAGTATCAAACATGAAGATAGTATTCTTACATAGTTTCCTGTTGGCTGCTGTGATACGGAGTTGTGCCACATCGTTTATTCGGAGCCGTGACGCGGGACAATAGAGGATCAACAGGATCGTAGTGGCACATATGCGGGACCTCGAGTTTTCGTCCCATCCGAACGTCTAGACGTTGCCCATTTCTCGGCCAACACCAAAATAGACCAAGGGACATCTTGGTTTGTGAGCCACCTTTTGTTTTAGGTTAAGAGTGGTAGAAGTAAACCTACTAGATCAGTAGTATACTAGAGCTGAAATATCTTTATGAGATTCAAGGAATTGCCTTTTAGTAGATAGAATCAACTGTACTTCTTATGTGCATAGATTACGCCAGATTTCGTTGGTGGAAGGAATGATGTCAATAAATCCAATCACGATCTTATGACGGTCAGAATAAATAGAACTAGAAAAATGAATCCGATTTCGGGCTTGCCGTGGTCATAATAAATAGAACAAGAAAAATGATTAATTTGAAATACAGTAGTAATAGAACTATTGTCAGCGACCAAGAACTATATCATATCGAGGAATCTTCAAATATTGATCTTTTTTAATCAGGATCCTTACTACTTATCCTTATTTACATGAACACCATCGGTGTATATCAATTGATAAATTATACAACTTCTAGTAATAGCTGCTATATAATTTATTGATGAAAATGTGATTGACCAACTCTGACATCGACCTATATTACTATTTCTTTAATCTGCATGTCATTAATGATTTTATTTACATATTTGAACCATATTTATTTCTGTATATTCAGATATTTAAAGAACGTTACCACAACATCACCATGGGCAGTAGAGTTTGATGAGAAGGGTGTACTTCAACAATCTGCTTTTAAAATTATCAATCTTCAAAAACAAAAAGATTACGCTAATCATAAATGGATTGAGGTCAGTAAATCTAAGGTTAACTTCACAAATAACTAAAGTTTAAAAAGGGGATGCGATTATGATATATTACAAAAGAAACTGAACAAAGATAGAATAATTATTAGAACTGTATATATCCCATATGCATGAAGATGGTGGTGTTAAACCAATATAGTAAACTACCATAATTATTTGTGTAGGAGACAGAATTGTATACTATTCTAGAATACCTGATATCACTTCTCATTTGAAGAGTTTGTAGTTTGTGTGTTTTTCAAATAGCCATTTGAGTGATTTGAATTCTGGGTAATTGTGGGGCCGTATGTTTTTAGTAAGAGAATACTTTTGCTTGAGCCCCTCGCTGTACATTTGAAGTTTATTCTGATCTTAAAAGGGCCACTAATATCGTCACGTTTCTCGCAAAGCGACGAATCTGGGATTTTTAAGTTTTGAGATATGTGTTTGAAATTTGCACCATGTTGCTATCTTTGTGGCCATCAAATAAAAATAATTATATGCCCTAACAATTGTTATGTTTTCTGATCTTAAAAGGGGCACTAATATATGCTAAATATATCATTGAATCCGATAACAAAATCTGAGTTTGCGCATACATATTTTACTATAGCGGAATGTATAGTGTTCCAAAAATTAGTCGAAAAACTCAAAATTAACCATATTCTTGTGCAATATTATAGTTTCAAATGTGTACAGTTGTTGTTCAAATGTTATTTTCTGTACCAACCGGGACACACCTTGCAGTGTGCTATGGGGGATGTTTCACTGATAACAGCGCTATCGCCTACTCTTATTTTGATTTTCAACTGCTAGGGGTTATTTAACTTGCTGCATGTATATGCCGGCGTCGGTTTTCGTCCAATCCGAACGACTTGATACTTTTTCTTGCAAGATCCTCCGTTATGCAAAACCGACACGGCGAAACCAGGCTAGATAGTCCTAAGGATCTTACTCAGGATTGAACCCGCAAAATCCTTGTAAGTGAGGCAACGCCACACAAACAGAACCACTGTGGAGCTTACTAAGTTGTCAATAAATATAAAGTGATGATTCAATGATGATGGGGTTTGTTTTAATAAAGAGATGAGGTAATAAAACGTTTATTGGTATTCTTAACACGTGACAATGTGATCATCAATCTTCGTGAGACAGTCAATAAATTCCTCTAGTGTGTTTTGTCTAATAGAAGGCCTCACTGTCCAGAAACATGCAACCCAAAGTACAAGAAAGCAATAAGGTCTTCGCGTAGACATAATAAAACGACAATCAAGAACTACCAAAATAAATAAAAAGATAGAAAAGTGAAATAGGTGTTATCACTTTCATCAAAATTGTCTGTAAATATGTTACCTACAAAAATGTGAACTACTCGAGTAAGAAGTGGCTTAGAGTGTTCAAGAAAGAGTGAGCGATACCCGTACCTACTGGAGTCATTGTTTGGACTTTAATCGTCAAAGGGCTTGATTGACAGATTAGTCTCAGTGTTTACAACCGATCTCTGTTGAACATTCTCAATTAGCCGTAAATTCAAATCATGTCAAATCGAATCTTGTTTTAACAATTGGCGACAGTTCTACCGAGAAGTCTCTTTGTTCTGCAGCGAATCAATTTTCCAAACTTAATCTTTTGAAATCCACCAATTTTAGAGTGGAAAGAAAACGAATTGTACGATAATTCTGTTTCAATTCTACCAAATAATGTGTTTCGCATGTTATTATATAAATGAAATGAAATGGGTTTAACTTTCTACTTTTCTGCACCGACATGGCTAATGAAGACGGACTTACGCCATACAGTAGGTGCTATGAGGGAAATTTTGCCAAGACAGCGGTTCTACACTCTTATTTCGAATTCCAACTATCAAGGGTTCTCTTATGTGCACCCCCGTGTGTACACGGGACCTCGTTATTTTTCGTCCCATCCGAACAACTAGATCGTTGCTATTCAATCCATCCTGTACCACAGACGAAGGGCAACAACGCTGGAAAATTGCGGTGAAATTTCTGGGCCAACACCGGAAGAGAACCCTAAACCTCCCGATCACCACGATTTCCAACAATTACTTTTATAATTATTCCCTTTCATCAACAAAACTGTGTTTCACTCTAAATAAACATCACTTTTATCATCAGATATTTGTTTGTTTTTTTCATTTATTGTGTTGGTTAGCTTGTTAACAGAACGATGTTTATTAATTTTGAAGGACGCGCCACAATTACTTTGAGAGTTACTCCCATTCTTTTTATGAAACTTTGCTAAGTATTCTTTTTTATAAAAGAAATGTGCATATAGTTTGAGAATTACTACAAGAATTACCGCCCTTGGTTTAAGAAATCTTGCAAACAGCCGTACTGTCGATAATTACGATTTTATTTAATAAACAAGACTCTGCGGTGTAGATTTTTAATCATATCCAGCGATGACTCAGGATCGCTTTGCCACCGTGCATAAGAGCATAAGAGGATATTATTTAGCATTTAGGTCAACGTTAAACTTGTTCTCTGATTCAGTTCTCTGGATAACTATACTTGATAACCCATACAAACTAAATAAATGACGATAATTGTTTTGTGAAACGTCAGTGTTGTTATCGTTATGCATTCAGGTTGGTTCCTGGAACAGAACATCTGGTTTAAAAATGAGGAAGATAACTTGGATGGGGGGATCGCTGTCTGCTCCATTAGGTAAACCAGCTCGGAGATTTGTTAGAGTCGCAACACTGAAAGAGGAACCGTATGTTATGTATGAAGAAATGCCAGCTGAAGGTTGTAGTAGTCATGCTGTTTTATGTAGAATATATCCAAGAGGTGAAGGAAAACGCAGGTAACTTTATTGAGTTCACGTTGACTTCAGTTTAATTAGTGGTCAACACAGAATCCTGTTGATTTTCAGGAGATTGCTTCACTTTGTTGCGAAATTGTGAGACATTTTTGATCAATGTAAAAGATCACAGCTTCATGCCATTTTATGACAATTTTTTTTGATTATTAAATATTGTCCACAAGTGCACTTTTTAAAAAAACAAAATAGGAAAACTCATTTGTTGTTCTATTGTCACCCACTGTTTTGAGCTTTGTATGGATAACTGACTTTAGTTTTATCATATTTGCAGATTACAGGAAACTACCGTGGATGCATGTTGTACAGGATTATCTATAGATCTACTAGTTAGATTAAGTCAAGATCTAAATTTTGATTTTGATTTGTTTGAAGTTAAGGATGGCGAATGGGGAGCAGAAGTAGGTTTAATTTCTGCATGACTTTAATTTCATTTGATAGCTTTAAAATAAACCCTATCTAAAATATCCTTTACCCTAAAATATCTATATTTTTCTAAACGGTATTTTACTGAAATAAATGGATTTAGGAACATATTTAGAATATATCTAACAATAATATTATCTCTAGAATAGCTTTACCCAATAAATCTTGTTATCTAGAATACTTTACAATACTTTTATCCCAAAAAAGTTCCTTTACCCTATAAATGAAATTCTAGAATATCTTACCTGTCAATGCTGTTTACGTAGAATACGATTTTTAGGGATATATTATTTACTCAAGAAATCATTGTATCTAGAATATCTCTAACAGTGTCGGGAATATATTTTACCATAGAAATCATGATATCTAGAATATCTTTAACATTGTCTGAAATATAGTGTACATAAAACATCATAGTATCTAGACTATCTATAACATTGTCAGTTACACTATAGAAATCATGATATCTGGAATATATCTAACATTGTCAGGAATATATTTACCATAGAAATCATGATATAAATATCTCTAACATTGTCTGAAATATATTTTACGTAAAACATCATAGTATCTAGAATATCTGTAACATTGTCAGGAATATATTTTACAAAGGAATCATGATATCTAGACGTATAGTCTGTACAATATCCCTAACCTTAGTTTATTTGCGACTCGAACATGCTTCAGAACATATTGAACGGTTTATCCTATAAAATAAATAAAACTACAAAAACCAAACCACATCTGCCTATTATATCCCGTTAACAGCTCGTAAAATAAATACTCATAAGAAGTAGAATTATCCTTATAGTTTCAAACACCGCAATTCAATTACTTTGAACGATCGTTCAAAATACGAAAAAAAACTCATATAAAATTTTTCCCCTAGTTTATTCTATAGGAAACCAGTATATTTCCTATCAAATTACACAATTATTGTTTGTGAGGAAGAATAAAAGTAGTTTGGCTTATTTATGGGTCCTGGCACGAACATTGTCGTTTCTTTTACACGGTTCAGCTATCGATTTAAATATTTGACAATCGCAACAAATTAGCAGTTAGATACATCACCATGTAGTGGCGGTAATCGTTAAATGGGACTACTTTCTTTTACTAGAATAATGGCGAATGGAATGGCTTAGTTCGAGTATTAATGGATAACAAGGCTGACATGGTGGTTACATCCTTTAAGATTTCACCCGATAGAAATACACAAGTAGATTTTTCATTACCTTATTTAGAGACTGGAATAACAATTATAGTATCTATCAGAGAAGGTGCTATTTCACCTAAAGCTTTTCTTGGTAAGATTCCATCTTGATATTTTAATGGCTTTAAAGGAGACTTGGTGATCAAGTCAAGAATACGTATGAACTGTCAAAATATAAATATTCCCTACGCAGAATATAAATACTCCCTAAGCCTACACAGATTCCAATTGTAATCAAATGTTGACGAAGTCTAACAATTTGGCTGTTCAAGCAATACATTCCCAAGATTACTTTATGAGCAATCTTGAGCACATTAGTATTTCATTGACCAATGTATATGTTAGCAAACCATGACTGTTTTTTTGTTTATTCCATAGCCAGATTATTACCCCATTGTGTTAGGGAGTTGGGTGGAGAGAAATGGCGTTTATCGTCGAGTTTACACAATATTTCGTCCATTTGGGGACAAGCTTTTGTGTAATGATAGTAAGGAGAACTTTGCCGAGAAAGAAGCGTTCAGCCTACTCTTTTTCGAATTCTAAAATAATTTCGTAATTAAAAGTGAGTTGTATTTAAAACTTGGCAGCTAGAACCATGTGATATAATATTCAAACATTAACATGATTCCACTTTCACATACAGTTATTAAAATAACCTAAAAAGAACATCTCAACATTACGTATTGAACTATTGAAAACTTCAAATCTTTGAGGATTATCAATGAAATGAAATGGGGTTTGACGTCCTACTGTTCTACACCGACTGAACTAATGAAGACGGGCATACGCCATACATTGTGCTATGGGGTACATTTTGCCCGGACAGCGGCACGACGCCCTACTCTTAATTCGAATTCCAACTGTCAAGGGTTCTTTCATGCACGCCAGTATGTACACGGAACCTCGGTTTTTCGTCCCATCCGAACGACTATACGTTGTCCCTTGCTAGACCCTCCGTACTGAACCGCTGACAAGTGGGATGCACGCCAGAAAATTCCGATGAACGGTTTCAGCCAACATCGAGATCGAGTCACTGTGGCTCCCTTGTGGTTTATCAGGTTTATGCTTTAACGCACAGTATTATATTACCTCTTCAAAGGGTCATTGTAGAGCAAATGTATATGCCTTTAATAAACGTTGTTTTATTTTTCAGAGCCGTATGATTATCCATCATGGGGATTAATCCTAGTATTTAGTGTACATGCTACTGGTATATCTATATTTGTGTTTGAATGGTTGAGTCCTAATGGTTTAGATAGAGGAAGAGTTTCTGAACGAGGTAACCCGAATATGGGATGGGATGATAGTAGGAGATCAGCGCGATATTAATAACTACTTCTGAGTAGCAAATAGCCTTTGGTCAATTGGCCTTGTATCTAAAATGAGATTCCTATGTAATTTAGTTTTATCAGATGAAATTAATGCAAGGAATTGGCTTGTCAGAAAATGAGATAAACTTGTATGTTTGTACCAATACGATCCCATTTCTCTAACCAAGCTTCTGATATACATTGTACCCAAATGGATACAGCACGTCATTATTATGTGGAGTGCAGTTACAATATGTTTCCACTCGGATTCTAATCACCGACTAGAACGGACACGAGCGTTTTGTCAAAAGCACCTAAAAAGGTATGCAGAAATGTGACAGACAAGGAAGGCAATGTTATAGATATGCAAATGCTACACACCATATCCAACATTTAAATGATTTCATAAGAAATTTTAAAAAAATTATGGATGATTGAAATTTGGACAAAAACGGTCAATAGCCCTTAGTAACCCACATTATTGCAATAATGCATACACAAATAACCATTGTAGCTGAGGTAGGGTGAGATTGCAAGAACGTGATTGTGAGAACATGATTGTTTTATAGAGAATCCGGAACCTGGTGATCACGGTACCTGTATCTACAATTTTTACTGTGTGTGCATTTTTTTCTGATTGCAGTTTGCGAGACAGCAAATTGATTTTCCCTGCACTCGGTTGCAGTCTGATTAAAATACAGATCTATATTTCGTTTTATACTTTCCATGGCCTACACTACACGAAGATCTGACCGATTGTACTGGAAGGTCGCGCCAGGGGTCGAGCTAGCGGCTTTTGAGCCTATGACGTCAGACATTGATTAATTAGTCAGCATTGACGTTTCTAGTGGTTTACCCACAGTTCCGTGCATCGCACACCAAGAACTCACCGTTACAGGCCGTTTCATTGGCTAATCCCTCACTTCAACCAGAATGCCAGTAATATAACAAATCTTCCAGATCCTAGTGTAGTGAAGACAAGTAAAACGAAATTTTGAACTCTACAAAAAACGAAACGAAATAGGATCTGTGTTTTAATCAGATTGTCTCGGTTGCTGAGTTCTTTTAAAATTCAATTTATTATTCTTATTGTATATGCAAATCGAAATTGCGAGGCTTGTTTATTTTATTACTTATAATCTACAGTTGTTTCCGATAAACTGTTATTTTATTTATTTTTTTTCATTTCAGAACATAAATTCTCTTTATTTCGATCTTTCTGGTTAATATGGGCGATGTTGCTAAGTGCCGCAGTGTCGACAGATACTCCCAGAAGTGTTTCCAGTCGGTTTCTAGCTAATATGTGGGCTTTATTTGCTTTAGTCTTCCTTGCCAGTTATACTGCCAACCTTGCCGCCTTTATGATTACAAAAGAAGAGTTTTATGATCTGTCTGGTATTAGAGATTGGAGGGTAAATTCAAGTTTTTAATCATTTCCAGCTCTCTGTGTTATTCAATTACGTATAATTCTGTGTTTTAATGGTGACACGTAAATGGTTCTGTCTGAATAACCTGAAATTATATTCTAGCATTATGTGACTTAAAGTGACAGTTCCACTAAAAATACCTTACAGATTTTAATTATAAAAAATGTACATCGTCTGCATGAGGTTCCAAATTTGCATTTAAAGATAAAGCCATATTCTATTATTAAGATACTTGCAAAACTCAAAATGTCCTATTATGATAAGGGGGATTAACAGTTACCCTGGAAGCGGGGATGCTAGTTATCAATGTGAAGTTATGGGTTTGATACAGACTACGCCCGAGTACGTGACATGGAGAGAAATGTGGTTTAACGTCCACTGGACACAAACTAGGTCATTTCGGGACTAACATAAATAATTCGCTTGCGCATAGGGGTCTTGGAAGGCGATCCTACTCCTTGTCACGTACAAGCAGGGAATCGAAACCACGCCACTTGACTCAATGACAGACCTCGTGATGCAACGCGCACGCGTTAAACATTAGGCCACCCAACCCCCGAGTCCAGCCAAAACAATGTGTTCTAGTAATGATAAACATGCCCCTTTTTCATTGTTATATTAGATTGTCTCTTTAAATTTATAGTAGATTGAAACAATCATTAATACCTGGACGTGTTCACCCTTGTTCAAGACTATTGTTGTTTATTATATTAATCATATTGTATAAAGTTGTAATGCCAAACATCGTTGACGTCAGATAAACAATTATTACATTAATATTGTTTGACATTGACATATGATATTATCAATAATGGAGATGGTTTTATTATTTAATTAGGAAGTTAGTTCTCCAATTTTGAACGTGTTGGTCGATTTTGTCGGTTAAATAGAAATGTCCAAGTCTATAGCCAAAATATTTTACGACCAAGATCTATTCGGTCAGTTTAATTACCACACATGTGGGGTTAGTTTAAATATAATAGAATTCGTAGAAGAATTAGAAATACGGGGATTTGTACATATATATTGGCCATGTTTCGGAGGGATAACTCTTATTAAGTAGCTTTGGTTTCTGAAATCCAAGTCCAGAGTATTTCGCTAAAATGTAATATAATGCCGTCACTACGACATTTCTGTGTGCGAAAAAATTAAATAGATCTAACACATATTATTCTACACCCTTTACCATATAGAAGACAATATCGGAAAATGAATATTTTCGATGTTGTTCTGAGAATTTGTTAAACACTGCCCACATTAAATGTGATATTGGCTGCAAAGTAGATTAAGAATCAAACCACGAAATCTTTATCTTTCAGTTACAAAACCCTCAGTCCATGAAACCGCCGTTTAAATTTGGTACCATTCCTTCGGGCAGTACAGAGAGTAATATTAAGAAGAACGATCCCGAGATGTGGAGATATATGAGAAAATATAATCAAACATCAGTACCTAATGCTATCATGGCCGTTAAAAGTCAGTAAGTTAACAGTTTATTAATATTTAACCACAGAGGATCGTATCATGTTTATCAATCGAGTTTTGTTTTATATTGTAGACCTCAGGGCAGTTCTACTGCTTTCGTTCGTTTGGCAGAAGTGGGTAACTATAAATCAAAATCGCGGTCATGCATCTTTTGAACTGCAGCTATTATGGTGGATTGCATTGAGATCTAAGCTGATGATACATGCAAATCCTGTCTGATCCCTTGATTTCTGCATAACCGTTGTAAAGGGTATTGCGTTAAAAATATTTCGGTGCAATTAAATCGATGATAAATCAATTATGATAAAAAAAAATGATTTTTGCTGTTTACTTATCTGTTCCCAAGATTTTAACAACCTAATACCTGATCTGGGAAACAAATATACCCTAGATCTCAGTGTAGCTAACCTGGATAGTGTATCTAATGGTGTGATTATTTTGTAGTAGTATGTCAACTCCAGGCTCCGATTTCACAAAACATTCTCAAACTTAAGTTAAGAATTTACTCAAAATTGTTCGCCTTGTTTTAACTAAAATATAGCACTTTATTTAAACTTTTGTTGTTTCAATACACCAATAAGAAAGGTTCGAGAGATTAATGATCGCGATCGAGGTTCGACGAAACAAGCACATGGATCCACGATCTCTTATCGGCCAGATAGATCATAACCATCTCTTTGGCACCCCCTGAAATTATTTCTGGAAACGTTCAGTTGGTATGTCACATGCTTAACGGTAAAATAGTGAGAAACTAAATGCCAGCATGTGTCACTACCTATTTTGCTCGGCATTCAATAATCATTAGCCGTGAAAGAGTAGCATTAAGTAGAATGTCGTGTCAGTAATTGAATTATTAAAATGTGTCTGTAAAACATTAAGAATAGTACATGGTCTTATCTGAAACACAGACAAGGACAATCGGCCAAAGTGTCAGTCTTTATTAAAATGCTTTTTAAAACAAAGACGTCTAAAAGGTGAATATATACATTCTATAAATTAATCCCCGCACCCCTGTGAAAAAATTGTCGACCATAAAAACAATAGATGTACATTGTCCGTCAATTTTACAGCACCCCTGAGAACACTTCCCACTCCCTCGTTGCTCTGAGCTAGTTACGGCCCAGGGGCGTGGGCATAGTTTCACATAGAACCAGTTCCATGCATTAAAAAGATTTGGGATGGCTGCTTTGATTATATGCTCAGACAGGTTACAATATGATCTAGCATAAAGTATTTCGTCTTAAAACGGGACTATAGTACCGCTATAAAGATTCCCTAAACGACCGAAGCCATTGTGGTAATGTCATCTTGATGGTAACCACTGGTATCAGATATGTCGCTGTTTTGCCAAACACATGTCGCCAAACACATTTGTCAGACTGACATACGTTTCAACTTCACATTATCACCATGTCAAATGGTATCCGTGGATAATGAATAATTTGGAATTAGTCACGAGATTCGGCAATTAATGTCCAGAAATACCATAGTATTAAATTAGACTCATGATTTTCTTGATATGTGATATTTTATTCACAAGTTAGTGTGTAGATATAGTGGTCGGTATACAAATATAAAACATAGAAGTGAACTTTATGAGTCTACCCAAGGAGTGATTATAGTCTTTAATGGCACACATATCGGGCCAATTATTTTATCATTAGGCGTCTAGAAATAAACAGTATTCTAAAGTCAGTTACTATAGTACTTCCATGGACTTTAAAATACATCTATTATAAGGATCATGGATCCATTGCATTCCATTCCATTCCAATTCTTAAAATTCTAACCAAAATGTACATGTTTTAAATATACAAGCTTTAACACCTCCACTTCGTATTACTTTAGATATATTTGAAGTGCTTTTTATTGATGTCGCCCATTTTGAAATCATTAACTTAATATACTTTCTTTCATTTTCTCTTAAATCAGAAAAATTCACGCCTTTATCTATGACGCCACAGTGCTTGAGTACGAAGCTGGGAGAGACGAAGGTTGTCGTCTGCGAACCGTTGGTAACTGGTACGCCATGACGGGATACGGAATTGGTTTCCCTCGAGGATCAAAATGGTTAACAAAAGTCAACGAAATTATTTTACAGTTAAATGATGAAGGTAAATGAACGAAACAATGTCTTGTCACGACTCACGTTAGTTATTTTAATGTTTTTGTAATGGCTGTGTAAACTGTAATCTTTAACTTTAGAGGCGAGACATGTTCTCTTTGTGAGATTCTTATTACATCCAGACATTCGTCTCATTAGGTTGTCGTAGTTGAGTAGAAGAGCACAGTGGATTTCTTTTTTTGTCCATGCTTATGGTCAATTATCCGATTATCCGATGGGAAATTTAACATTTACTCTGACATATTTGAATGATATGCTTTTAAATAGCTCAATCACTTTAAATGTTTAAACCACAGATTTGTATGCGAAGACATGCTCTTAATGCTTTACGCATATTAAATTGCACGACACAAAGTTCTGGAAGCAAGAGTTTGCATGCATCCATCTTAAAGCATCTGTTCTGAAAGATTAACCCATTGTGGCATGGATTGAGTTTAAAGTTCCAGCAAAAGATTACTTTGGACATTTGGGGTGTTTTTTTGTGGGGTTCTTAACCATAATTATTGTGTAACATTGTTTATATTATATGTATGTATGTATGTATGTATGTATGTATGTATGTAATATTGTACAGTGTATTTCAATAAAAAACTGTTTATAAAAAAATATCCGGTGTTTTGGAACGAGTAATATACAGCAATAGTTTAACCAACAATTTTGCTATTTTAAGGTGAAACAGAGCGATTGAAAAAGTTTTGGTTAAAGGGTGCCTGTAGAACCAAACAGAAACATGGTGTTACAAAGCGAAGTTTCGGCAAAGCTGTTTCAAGCCATACATTAGGAATTTTAAATTTTACTAGTGCTTTCATTCTATTGGCTTGTGGTATAGCTCTTGGTGCCCTTTTACATTTTCTAGAACATCTGTATTATCGTTGTGGTCGACAGAGATTGAAAGAATTAGATAAGAAAGGGTGCTGTTCTCTTGTTAGTTATGTAAGTACTTACTCCTAGTTTCAACTTCTATACCTACTATGTGTGATACAATAACACAGTCCTGGGTTTCTTGGTCCTCATGAAGTAAAAGCGGCGTAGTCCAGGTCACACTCACAGTAATGGCCTTAGGATATTTCGAGTCTGTGGAGAGTATATTTACTCATCTCCACGCCACCCCTTGACATAAGTCAAATTGTTTTTCAGTGTTATAGGAAAATTACGGGTAACATCCACACCGAAAAGTGAACTGTGACGAGTCCAATTTTCTGTTAAGTTATTGACTTTGGGCTAATCGATATTGTCTATCTACCAAGATGACTCGGTGATTCTTAGACATCATAAAAAAGATTTTATTAACATTGTTTATCTAAGGACTATCTAAAGTTTATCTAAGGACTATCTAAAGTTTATCTAAAGTTTATCTAAGGACTATCTAAAGTTTATCTAAGGACTAATATAATATTTTGATATCGCCATTCTACTGCTGCTTCATAATAGTTACACTAACTAAATGTGAGTAAGGTCTACATTACAATAAATACCAGGGCCGGTGGAAGCAATTCTTGATTGGGGAGGCTACTATCCTAGGACTTCAGGCGCCTTGGCCCCGGAAGCTCCTGGGGATCTAGAGACGCTTTCTGGCTAATGAAATTACTCAGCAGTGTCTCTAAATCCCTTACCATGCAAGCACATTCGATGGTGGCTTCCTGTGATGTTGAACTTGACAAATGTATGCATAATAATTCCAAGGTTTTTGGACACTCTAGAGGTCACAATTTTTATACGATTTTGATGAAACTGACAATGTATGTTTATAACCGAAATATCTTGACATGTTTAGCTTGTGGGCCTTCTAGACCTCACAGTTTTTATTTGATTGTCAAAACCGTTCAAATATATCACCGTTGCACCATAATTTCGTGAAAATCGGACCGAAACTGCCCGACAAAATGGCCGCTACCCTTAAAAGCATGTAATAGGTTCGAATTTTCATCCAATTATGATATATCCTAAAGGCCCGGGTTCCTTTCGATATTGGTAGGCTTTGGACCGTAGCTTTCTGAATTATAACCCCTAATTTACGAAATATTACGTTTTTAGCTTGTGGACCCTCTAGAGGTCACCATTTTTATCTTATTTCCAAAACCGTTCAAATGTATCACTGCTACATCATAATTATGAATTTCCTGAAAATCGGACCGAAACTTTCAGTATAAAAGCACGTAATACCAAGTTTGTGGACCATCTAGAAGCTCCATAACTTTCGGGCAGACGGGTAAAGTGAAAATAAAAATTAATATTTCATCTAGTTGGCAAAATAAAGTGCCCGAAATCTAATAACACACTAATTTTACTTTTCTATTCATTGAATACCACAAAGTTGTACTGAATTGACTATAGATTTTCTGGAGTCACGCTACTTGTGTGCGACATTTTTTGGGCATTGATTATATTTTGTGAATGTAGCTGCAACAGTCTGATTGGATGGTTGAAATTCGGATCGGCATAGAGTGGGATTTCGGTTGAAAACCGATTGGAAACTTTGAAGTTGCTTAATTCACGGGCTAGAAAAGCAGAAAAACGCATTTGTAGTGGTTAAATTTTCTAAATGTTCTCGGGGAGCGCGAGGTCCCATACCCCGCGACGATTGATTTGAGATTTAGGTAAGTCACCTAAAGTAGGCTATATTGGACCACATTGAAGTATCTTTATTCACGGGATGGTCTAGCAGGAAAACGCGTTTGCTGCAGATAAATTTTCAAACATTCATCGAGTTCGTACGCCTATCACCGGATTTATCTGATATTTCTAGTTTTATCTTAATAAAAGGACACCGGCGAAACGTGAAACATCCTTCATAAAAGGCTTCTGGTTATTAAAGAATTTAAAAATTACGTCATGCTCCAAATGTATAAATAATGAATTTATTTATCGTTATACACATTCACTCATCGTCTTCTTTATATTATATATTACTATTGGCATACTTATTAAACAAGAACGTTACACAAATATCTATTTTATTTTTAAACATGGGGGCATAGACGGTCTGACAATTAATTTTATTTGCGCAAACCAGTGAGATGTTACATAGAAATAGAAGATGTTAATACAACCGTCTTAATGCTAGGTTCCCACTATCACGATTCGCGCCAGGAAAACGTGTCTGCGGCCGTCAAATTTTCCAAATTATCCTGGGGGAGGGGGGCGTTACATGTTAAGCTCTGTCCCTTCGCCTCTCGCAGACGACCGGCACCACCTTCTGTTTCACGCAATTATTTTTGCGGGGCAATTCAGGTTCTGCCCCCCCCCCCCCCGCTTACATTCATTGAGCCCGTACACCTTTGCTCGCAACTAGGGGTCTCTCAACACAGGGATCAGTATAGAGCATAATAGAAGTCTCACTTCTATGTTAAAATCAGACCTCGTTGTATCTAACTGCATAATTACTTGCGTGCAATCCCAGAGAAAAGAGTACCCGCCCCCTCCCCCGTAGCCGCCCCACTCCACCGGGCCTGAATACTGTTCAAATTATACATTTCTTAGTCTTTTAGAGCTTTTGAGGGAGTGTGTCTATTCTTCCCGTTCAATCAAATCTCTCCTAAGTCAGGCACGCTGGCAGTCCTTCGTTTAATCTGGGGTCTTCCCTAAAACTTTGGACAGTGATTTAAGGTACTAAAAACGGCCATGGTATTGTTCGTCTCCAAGCAGTATTGTTTACATTGTAACCGTTTTGATAGCCTCATCTGTCACGCAATTAGTTTTTCTGCAATATTCTGCTATGCACTGCCCACGGTTAATTGGGCGTAATAAATTTCTTGAATCATGGAGCTCTGTTTAAACCCGAATGATATTGTTACGCAGTTAGGTATTGGTTGTTAAAGATACATTATGGGAGATTCGATAACGAGTTGGGAGTTCGCACTATAATAGTTAAAAACTAGATAATGTAAAGGCAATTTGCTGAGAACTAAGCGGTTGAAATTTCCGGCTAGCCTCGACCATCATTACTAAAGGCAGTACGATAAACAGCATAGTCTCGATTATCCATTTAATCGTTAAATCGTGAATCGTTTAAAAGATATGCAGTAAATCGGCTCATAATCCACTGAAGATCGTAGGCTAGCATAACCATCTAGAGTTGATTATGGTCTGGATAGGTTAATTAATGTCTAATTAATAATTTAGATAACATTTCAGGCCTAAAGAAAGACCTGCAATAGACAAATTTAGCTCTTGTATAATGTATGTTTAATCGGGCTATTGACCAGTCATAATTTGAACAGAAATTTGCTTTCATTACAGCAGTGTTTGAATGAGATTAGGTCTAATTAAACGAAACATTACAAGGAGTATAGTATGACGCGTGTTTGGTTTCTGACAGTCCAAGTCTTAATATTTAAATATTTAATGACAGATATACTGGGTTGTCACAAAAGTGTCAAAATTAAGAAATTCGCCTTTTAAAACCGGTAAGAACCTGAAAAAATAATGAGATTTGAAAAGTTCATCAATAATAGCCTTTCTTGTACTGTTAATATGTGATTATAACATTATGATGTATCTATATGTAGGTCGTCTGTATTTCAGGGCATGGGCAACTCCTTGTCTAGAACAAATACTGTTAGTGACGTCATACATTTTCACAGAAAACATCGGTGTAAAAACAGATTTTGTGAGGTACAGTTCTGGAAAGCTCAACACCAGTTAGATGTAGCTTTACTAAAAATAGAAAGATTACAAAAAACATTGAAGTAAGTAACACCTTATTTGATCGGTTGGGGGTGGTTTTGCTGTTTGACTAGGTACTGGGTTTGACTCCGTTCCTTATGCATGGAGCTCGAATGAAATAACGTATAGATTTGGTTACCCTGTTTCCAACCATTTAAGGGTTTAAAGACACGGGTCATTCACAATTCGTTGCGGGGGGACGGGGGTGGATGGCCGAATGGTTAGTGCGTGCGCGTTGTATCATAAGGTTTCGATTCCCCGGTTGTACGTGACAAGGAGTATGGTCGCCTGTCCAACCTCGTGGGTTTTGTCCGGGTCCGGTGGTTTACTCCCACTGCTAAAGACTCCTCAAGCAAGCGAACTATTAAAATAAAATTGGACCATATATTATTCTCGAAATTACCTAGTTTGTGTCAAGTGGACGTTAAACCACATCTCTCTCTCTCTCCCTCTCTCTCTCTCTCTCCCTCTCTTCAATACGTTGCAGTATAATGCCACAATTCATCCAAGATATTTTGATCCTTAACATATGTGTAAGGTGCATCTACATCAGACAGAAACTGTGGCCTTTAGAGGATCCACAACCCTGGTATATGTATTAGATGCGATTTCAGGTTTGATTTCCACGGACGGAAATGGCCGACGGCATGATATGTCTAAATGAAAAAGGAATCGCCCAAAGTACTTCAGTAAGTAACCAACAAAGGAAAGATGTGTTAGATACATTATTCTACATATCATATCCCAAATTTAAATCATTTAATAAAAGTATAAATAATTGAAATTTTAACAAAGCAACGTAATACCGACAATGGAGATTAATAAAACCCACAGACAAGAATAACATATCGTATCTATCAGAGGCCGGAGAAAGAGTCCGCAGATTATGACTAGCCTTTCTGTTCTAGCTGGTATACATATAGAAAGAGTAGTTTGGTGTAACGTCCACTCGACACAAACAAGATCATATTGGGACTAACATAAAATATGATATACCACAATTTTATTTCAATAATTCCATTGCGCTTAGGGGACTTGTGCAGTGGGAAGAAACCGAACCCTTAGAAAATCCACGAATTCGGGCAGGCGACGCTACTCCTTGTCGCGTACAAGCTTGAGATCGAAACCACGCCACTTGACTCCGTCACCGTAGCTGGTACACACTGTTTGTTAAAAGCACAATAAATTTAGCAAGATAATAATATATATGTCTATGTTTCTCCCCCATATGTAATATTATTATAATGAAGAATATTCATGCTGTATGATTATGCACCAATATTTACGACCCACTGAGGAATTGATGCTAGACTTTTCATTAAAAATATTGATTAAAACGTGAACCATACGCTTTAAAACAAGTATCTGCAGGCATAATTTATAAACTTTCAAGAACAAAATACGTGTTTGCCACCCACTATATACTTGAGTGACTTATTAAAGGCCCTGTCCCACCGGAGGCACTGTTTGCTGACTTTGACAACCTTAGATATTCTTGGAGAGAACTGCAGAGCACTAGAGCAACCTTCGATATTCGGATTCCGTATACAAACCATGGTATAGCATGCAGTCATTCATATTTTATAAAGATGTCTTTTTCACGTTAAGTCCAAGCGACTATCATGTATTCATGGTACATACTTTCTAAATGTATATATACTGTCATAATGTACAATTTACATGCTGCCCAAAAAGGGTGTTTTATGTAATAAAATATCTATCTATCTATTCGTTCTGCCATTGTGAGGGCATTTTTGGAAAAGCATTGCCATTCCCGGCTTTCCGTGTAATTCCTGAGACGTTTTCATCAAATATCAGTACCAGTTTCGCTAATATTTTACTACGGTATACACCATGGTTTATTTCTACAGCCAATGTACCACCCAATATCGTATTTCATTTCATCCTTCCCTTCTTCTCCTGCTGTTACTAGTATTTCAGGATTAACCAACAGTTGATAAACCGCGTTCGGATAAGGTCTTCACGGCCTCCCCCAACGCCCGGACCTGGCTACACTACGAGATAATATTGTATATCTAGAGAGTGGTTTTTATTATTTTTTTACTTTATAAAATAGAATGAAATTGGCTTTAACGTCCAAATTTCCGGTACCAACTAGGCTAATGAAGATTGTAGACGGGCATGAGCCATGCAGTGTGCTATGGGTGAAATTTTGCCCAGAAAGCGGTGCTACGATCTACTCTTATATCGAATTCCAACTGACGTGGGTTCTTTTACGTCCTTGTCAGGCCCTCTGACCTACAACCTTGACAAGGGGGCCCACATCGGAACATCCCGAGGAACTTTCTCGGCAAGCACTGGGAACGAACTTGGGACCCCCAGGCTAGCGAGCCAGTATCTTACTCGCTGAGCCACATGGTCCCCTTTTACTTTATAACTTAAACATCTGTAAATCGCCGACCTTTGATTAGTAAGTATGTGTGGAAGTCCAATTAATTCTTGTAAATACCAGAAGCTCTTTTGGCTTCCATCTCATTTGCTGAAACATCATCAGCTGCCCTATAATCAAATTGTTCAGGAGCTGCTTCTCAATTATTTCTTTAGAGGCCATTTTGAACTTTTGTTCTGAAGAAAATAATAAAGATTGCCCGCTGTATGTTATCCCGAGAGAATCATGTCGTGCTTTATTCCAATTCTTATTTCAGGCGATTAAATGTAGAAAAAGATAGAGAAGCCGTGTGGAAATATGACCCACATGTGAGAAGACATCCCAATGGCTGTATAAGTGAAAAAAGGGACGTTGATGACACCGATCAAAATGAACATTTAAGTATTCAAGATTCAGAGTTAATTGGTGATCAGCCATTATTAAAATGTAATATAGAGCGAGAAAGTTCTTTCTGATAGCATCTTCCATGTCTCCATCTTTTATTTATTGTCGTCATATAAATTTATTTCATACAGTAAGTAATGATAATCCGATTACGTAAAGTAAAGGCGACATCTTTACAGCTCGTGGTTTAAAGTAACAACTTTTCTTCATTCTACAAGAACTGGATACATCATTATGTGCGTGCAACTATTATGTGGTATTATTTTTGTGAGGTTTAATAGGCCTCGAAACAATTTCTGAAATCTTGTGCGGTGTGTTATTCAAAACATATAGCTGTTGTTTCTCAATGTTTAAAGGGAGTGAACTTTGTTTTCTTTTTGCGTACTAATATACGTTTTAGATATTTGATGTTATTGTTAATTACGGTTATGTCTTCCGGGAGACTGAGATTTTAGGAGTGAAGAGAGACAGTTTTCTTACGTTATTTATATACAGCGTCCGTCCATCGGACTCGGTATTATAATATGGAGGCTGATTTCAGATCGATCTGTATCACTTGTGTGCAGAACAACATCTATGATAAGTTTGTGTTGGGAAGACCTGACAGGAAACCTCACCTTTCCTGTATGGAAAATTTATTTTATTTTTGGGTGAGAATGAATTCAACCAATCATATAGGCTTAAACCAGACTTTAAACAGAACTGGCAACTAATGGGGAAGTAGTTACATCAGGGTCCTGTTTCACGAAATTTTAACTAAAGATAAAATCCAAATTTTAGTAGATACTTCAATTTTGATTGGCTAAGCACTACAATCAGTCTAATATTATCCAATCAAATTACTAAAATTTGGATTTTATCTTAGTTAAAATTTCGTGAAACAGACCCCTATATTATAAAGTTGACCAAAATACAATGGGAAACGAAATAACAATTGCATTTAATGACATTTTTGGTCGTTCATGAATGGCGGAGTTCCTGTATATTTGTGTACCTCTGGGTGATGTTAAGCCCGGGTGTTAAAATGCATTATTCGCCCATGCATCTCTGTCTTAAAGCCTTAAATGTTATATAAATTATTAATTAGACATTTATTAACATGACAAGACCATAATCAACTCTCTAGTCCATCGGTTGGCCCCGATTCTACGTAGATTATAACGGTTCTGCCATTTAATTTAAAAATAGAGAAGCGAGGCTAAGTCTCGAATACACCAGTACCGTGGTTACGATAATAAAAAATCAATGCACCCATATTGTCAAAACTACAAACAGTGATAACGGGGCTCAGAATAAGGTAATTTTAATGAAATTTTTAAAATATTCATTTGTAATTATCTATTTTCGACCTGTTATAAAAAGAACGGTCAGCTCTTTGTCTAAATCTTACATAATGCCACTTTAATTGTTATGTACAGTCAAAGCCCAGCTTAGACATGGGCCCGAGGGCCCCGTGGTTTAGGTGGACCCCGCGGTTCATGGGAAAAACAGAGAAAAAATTCAAATACCAGATGAAAGTTTCACGGTAATCGATCTAGCGGCGCGAGGGCGGAGACTGAGCTATCCCTCAACCTTCTCTGTGAAGTTCCAGTAGGTCATCGGTCTAGGCTTCGAGCGGCGCGATGGGCGGAGACTGGGTGTGAGTCTGCAATCCCCCAACCTTCTCTGTGGTCGAAACCCGTGACGTAGGTCGCATTCATAACTGAATGGATTTCGTATGTGATCAGATATTATGTAATTATTCTTGTATTACGGGCCGTTTAATTGTGTGTTACGCATGCGTGCCATTCAAAAGGCTATGAAATAATCTTTTGTCAGACATATTGATGACGATGGTGTCATACGGTCGAATTTTGTCCTGTAAATATCTTTTTCCCCCCTTTGCATTCATTTTACAATAACATACATATATATTCTGGATTTAACTCAATATCATCCACAGTCTTCGAAATTAAAAACACGACTTATTGGTCAATTTAAATCAACATTGATGTTATGTTACCGTGAAAAATTGGGCTTCTGATATCCAATATTTAAGACAAAATGGAAATTTTAAAATTGACACACGATTCGTGTGCCAGAATGTTTTCGAGTGCCATTTGTAATGAAGCAACTCGATGAACGAGGCTAAACATACCCCACATGAGGATATACTATCCCGATGTAGGCTGAAATAATCAGACGCCTAAGACAGTCATTCAGTTTGGATTCTTTGCCGAACATAACTCATTAGAAATTATAGTAAAAACAAAAACAACTGAATGTAAATCAGTTTATATACATTCATATTACATTAGTTTATGCGTTGCGACCCTTTTGTGTCTATTTCTAGGTGCCGAAGAATAGGGATTTAGCTCCTTTAACTCAAGCTCTAAGTTCGAACATCGTTCTAGGGGAAATAACTCCGTCGGCATTAAATAACAACATTCTGTGGGGCGTAATGATTAAAAAATAGTGTACATTCCTTAAATATGCTGATTTTGTTTTATAATAAAGATTTGGTGAATATGGTCTTATTGTTTTTCTGATTGTCATCTTTGATATGACATGAAATGTTCGTTCCGTGTTAACGTTTTAGTTTATTCTTTTTTAACCGAATCTGACAGAGCCCCATCCATCCACTTTCAGTACACGGTCAACCATTAAAAGAATGGTGATATTAGAGCAAAAATAGATTAATTCGGACAACCGAACTCAACCACCACCCCTCACCTCAAAACCATGTTGTCCCACGCGCCTATGTGGATGTGTTACAGGAAAGGGTTGTCAATGAAATGTATAACAATTCTGGTGGGACTGTTCATTGGACATAAAAATTAAAAATATTTCGATAGTTTATCCCATACACAACAAAGGTTCCGATGGATTTGTAAAAACTTAGTACTCATTGCAGTTACTCGGGCACTATTATTTTGTTGTCACCAATTTGAATCTGCCCGAACAGCCTTGCACGTGACACGGTGGTGCCAATGCTTTTTCCGGAAATTTCTGTTAATGCTGCCAGTACGTGGACACTGAACACACATTAGGACTTTGTATTGTCTCCGCACTGCAAAATGCTATAATAACGAAAAGCAGGATACGACACTCTTAATAAACTACTCTATTTTATAAGTAATTTTCGTGATAAACAAAAGTCAAGGAATTGTTGAAGTGCTGGGTTGGAAAAACAGAATGCTGAAAAAGGACATCATAGTTGTCTCCCTTGAACTACATACCTCTATTTCCTTCTTTCATTAAATTGCCCAATCTTTCGCTATATTTCTGTCAAGTCAGTTTATAGGCTATGTGGAAAGTGAATTGCCTACTGGACTTCATGATAAAGATTGAGATATCTAAATGGAAACCTCTCTGATTTGTATTTAAAAAAAATAATTACATTTTATGAGTGGGTTTGTGTGGGTTTGTTTTGAGAGCTGACAATCGAATTTCAATTTGTTTTCCCTTCTGCGTGTTCAACAGTTGACAGTTTAATCCAACAAGTACGATATTCACTTTCCACACAGCCTATAACCTAACTTGACAGAAATGTATTCCATCTCTTAGCGAAAGATTGGGCAATTGTCTATGATTCCAGGAACTGAGCATGACGTCATATCAACAATTGAAGACCATGGGGTTTTTTTTTCGAAGAGCGTCGCCGTTTCGAAGAAGCTGAAATCCACATTTAATTTTTTTTTTTTTTTTAAATTTCAATAATCATTATAAAGTATTAACCGAGATTAAGTAATAAAGTACAAAGGTAAAGGTAGGTTTCCAAATGAATTTACGCCCTGTTTCTGTACTTCGGTTTGTTCTTTTTTTTACCAGGAAAAAATAAAACACATTAGCCTAGATCAACTTTCCCTCTGTGTATAGACTTTCAAGTTTCAAGCTATGTGAGAGTTTCGGTTTGATGTTATATGTAGCCCTACATCACCTATGATTTGGGTGAATTAATTACAAAATCTGACTTAAATTCGTTTTTTTTCCTGGTATTTTGAATTACACTATTTCTCTACAAGTCGTCACCCCCTTATGATTAAATCAATAATTCTACTGATAATTCTTGGAAATACAATAGTTCAATAATAAAAAATAAAACAGTTTTATGGGCTCTTGTTGAAGGGACTCCGTGATCTGAATGACGAATGTATTTGAAGCATTATGACGTTTACCCTTTATGAGAGACTCGGGTAAGTTTTAAACCACATTTTATTTATAAAGTTTAAATAACTTGCAATTGTTGTTGTTATGCTTATATACAGGATAAACTTAATCGTAAAATATTAACAACGATTTATAATAGACTAATCAGACGCCCATTTATTATTTTTACCATGACGATAAGCACGTCCTAATACGATGTTTTCAAGTTCAATGATATTTACGATCTTAATTACTTATGTCAAAATCCGTAACACAAAACCTCAGGAATTTCAATTGAAGATCTTCATAGATATAGTATTTCCTATTGTAACACGCCTTCGCCACATTTCCCGCCATATGACGTATAAATCTAGCGATGGGAGCCGTGTGCAGCTTGAAACTATCAGTTGGTTACTTGGACTGTCAAGGACCGTAAGGAGATAAGAAGTCGGCATTAACAGGCACTTTTTTTAAACAGGTATTAAAATGTCGAATGTGGAACATATCCAGGGAGAAACATTAGGTGTTCACTTGTCTCGTCCAGATTCTGGAACACCATGGGGCTTTCGTCTACAAGGCGGTGTTGACTTCAGTACTCCTCTCTCAATTCAAGTGGTAAGTTCGCTATTCTATTCACTTACAAATAATACATTGAAATAATCACTGGATAAATGGATATGCTTGGGTGATTTAGGTAAAACATCGCTTCTGATAAGTAGAGACAAATATACTCTTAATTTGTCTAGGTAACATCTAAAAATAAACAGGTTATATTTACAGTGGTATATTGAGAATTATATGCCGTATCAAATTACATTGGAAACCATCTATACATAATTCACCGGTTACAGGAAATAGACGGTCATAATACACGCTTTTTGTGGTCTGTTGGTCTTATTAACGGTCAATATTTGAACGGTAATGAATGGGATTATTGTGCTACTGGTCGAATAGTTATATTTTATAAAAGATAAGTAAAACGTGTTGTTAGATAGGTTTACGGTAACTATATATGGAGAGTAGGTATTCGTGCCAAGAGTACAGGATGATATAGGTAGTGATGTGTTCATTATTAAACTGGTTGCCACTCTGATTGTTGTACAAACAACAAAACACTGGTTGTTCTGTATGTTATTAGTCATTTATATAAGTAATATTTAAAAAATGATATACAGTAACATTGGAAAGAAATAGAACTAAGATAGATTTCGTGGGAAGTAGTGGCTGGTGTAAAGAATTTGTGTAGCACTTTCATGATTGTAGGTGGTGGTAGGGGGTCAACAATGTAGCCAATGGAATTTTATAAATGCTAGAAATAAATGTTTAATTGTAAGGAATACAGTATAGTGATGTTAATAAAAGATTATATGGTTAAACTTAATAATTTGCTAAACTAAAGTCTGCCATTGAAAAAAAAATATGACAAGCTTTATAATGTTATTTTGTTTGTTTATAACATTCATTAAAACGAAAAATTAAACTGGGTCTTTATTTGTGTGGCACTCTGTATTTACTAGTATCTGGTTTATATTCCTCTAAGACAGCCATGTTCAGTCTAGGTTTTCTTACAGCCATTGATCCTCATTTGTATTTTTAGGAAAATAAGGGGGTTTGGATGGCCGAATGGTTTGCGCATATCATAAGGTCTGTCATTGAGTTAACTGCCATGGTTTCGATTCCTCGGTTGTATGTGACAAGGAGTAGGGTCACCTGTCCAACCGCGTCGGTTTTCTCCGGGTCCACTTGTTTCCTCCCACTACTAAAGACCCCTATACACAAGCGAATTATTGAAATAGAATTAAACCATATGTTAGTCCCGAAATGACCTTGTTTATGTCGAGTGGACATTAAACCCCATTTCTCTCTCTCTCTCTTTTAGGAAAATATATTTCACAGCTTAACATTAATCCACACTAAAATGTAGTCAAATTGATTATATTATAACCTATGATTAAGAAAACCAAACCAAAATATCAATGGAAAATAATCTACTGGCTTGGATTTAATCAGATTTAAAGAGGCCCATCAAAAAATTTTACCCAACACTGGCCAGTTAGTATCTATGCCGAATATTGCAAAATTTTGGATTCAGCATATTTTGGGACTGATGTTCCTTGTAAAGATTTAGCTTTCACAAGTACTTTGCAAAGGATTCAAATCACACAAATGAAAATCAGCATCTTTAAGCAGTTCTCCTGCATTGTCTGTAATAAAGATATTTAAAAAAATCATCTAATTTAACTGACAAGTAGATTGGATTAATTATAAAGTTGTTATCATTAATGAAATAGCTACATGAAATTGACATTAAGCAAATGAAATTGTATCATATTCGACACAGTAGTTGAATAACATGTTTATTTTTGGTGTAATCTATACCTTTGTGTTATGAAATGTAAACCCTAATCTAACCCATTATCAACAACTGTTAATTGGTTCTGTACACAATAAAGGGGCATTTAACTGTCAATCATCCATGTAATTGACAGTGTGTTGGTGGTTGAACTATGGGTCTCCTAGGATCAGAGGTTAAGCTATTGGAATGTTACAGTACAGATAACAACCCAGACATGAATTAGATGTCTCATTCATCACATACCATTAAACAATGTAGAAAAACTGCACAAAAAAATGAAATGGTGTTTTGTGGCATGTCAGCACCAACTTGGCTATATTGCACCATACAGATGATGATCTCGACAAGAAGCAAAATAAACACAACAGTATAAACATTATTATTACACTAGGGGGAGTCTAACTAAATCAAAATCTTGATCAAAAAGAAATTAATTGGACTAATTAAAACATCCTTTTGAGCACATTTGAGATTACATGTGGCTGAATGCTATCAATCCCTCGCTGTATAAGCCTATCCATCTGTCAAGTATGTTCACATACAACACCCAGTGTGGCTACTTTGATGTGGTATCAGATGTTTTGGAAATAGTAAGTATACCCTGATAGTGCCCCATACATATACCATGAATGAACTTGTTACATGTAAAAAATAAATTATTTCAAGAATTCATCAATAAAGTGGTGTCCTGTGAATACCTATATAAATTTCAGAGGTGATCGATCTATCCTAACATAAACATTTTTATTTTGTTTGAGCTTTAAATGTAGGTACATGTGTAGAGAAATAATAAAAATACATGTCAAGCCCCAAGGGCAATACACCTAATATTCATTGTGAAAAGTAAACGAACAGAAATATAATTTTGTACTGTAATGTTTTTGTCCATCACTATATAACTTTTTGATTCTTTTATAATATAAGTAGTGAAAATGTCAAGTAAATTTTGTTTTCCCTAATCTTACATAATTGCTTTCATATAGTAACGTAGACTAGGACTTATGATGAAAAACTATAGAGGCAGATCTGGGGCGTGGCCTGGGAACACCCATTCCACTTTTGATCTGGGAGTACCCATTTTGATCTGTCATGGTACTAAATGGGTCAGCATAAAATTGCTGACTGCAGCTATCTTAGTGCAAGGACATTTCATTACCGGTACTATGTGTATAAATTTTCAGTTCCATGTACGATATATGCATTTGTAATTAACCATAACCTCTGACAATGGTTGTCAGAAGAACTTAATTGGTTTCACTTAATGCTAATTATTATATCATCTTATGTATGATCAGATCTATAGGATTATATAGTTTTACTTACTGTGTTTTGATTTAAACCAGAATAGATATGTAAACAGATCTACAGTTACATTAGATTATATATAGGTACCACCCAGTTTACTGTAAACATTATAAAATGGTGGCTAGCTACTAGCAGCAGCTGATGCACGTATCAAGTACCATTATATAAAAACAAGTAGATTGTGCTTTAGAAATGGAGAGAGAATTACTTGTCTGAGTCCTGAACGTGCTATAGAAATACATGGTCATAAAGTTACAATATAGTAGTCAATATGTAGATTTGTTTGTTTTGGTAGATTCTATCCAGAATCAGTATTGAATACAACTGTAATATTTGTTTTTCAATGGGCTGTATTATGGGCCTATAATATGCAAATTTGCATGGTAAAAGTTTTTTTTGAGTTGTCATGTCAAAGTATGTAAGAGCTAAATCTGACTATTGCAATCTTTCTTTTGGCCTCAAATGTTATATAGATTATTAATTAGGCTATTAGATTATTAATTTTTAAACTATTAAGCAGTATGGTTATGGAGTTCGGTCAAATATACTATGATTCATGATCTGGTCAGTCATAATTAATTGATTCCTTAGTCTACTAGGGAGATCCTCTTTAGAGAATATTTCATATATTTAGCTACCAATTAAATCTAAACACAGATTTATTAAATACAATCTTTTTGAAATTTTAAACTTTTATATGTTGTTTATATTAGTTAAAGATACATTATGGAAGATTAGATAATGAGATTGCAGTTATCACTATAATAGTTAAAAACTAGATGATGTAAAGGTAAAATGCTGAAAGTTTCATACAAATTGCTTCACTCTAAGCCAAGAAAACCTTATTTTAAAATCACTGTAGCCTTGATTGTGAATGTTAGCGCTGTCATGAAAATTAACAGTCTCGATTATCTATTTTGCGTTTAATCATCAACAGATGTTGAACAGCAGATCAGATTCAAATTCAATAAAAATCGAAAAGATATGATGGCATCGAGAGTTGATTATGGCCTTTTCATGTTAATAAATATCTAATTAATAGTTTATATAACTAGGCAGATTTACCTCATGCATAATGCATGTTTAAGTGAAAAATCCTATTAAATTTCAGTGATTTCTAATAACTTCCAGTGTTATTGCTTTTTATTGATTGTTTACACTCTAATGACAAAAGTTGTCATCCAGTACGTTTCTAATTTATATGCTTTATTCAGATAGTGACACAAATTCACTTACTGGGTAATTACTTCTAGAGTTATGGCACTTGTTAATGTTGGACTTGTCATCCAATCTGCATCTAGCCAAAAGAAAAATCATGTTAAGTTCAACAATTTCATTTAATTACTTCAAGAGTTATGGCCCTTATAATAAGTCATCATCTGATCTACTTTAAACTTATGTTATTTGGTTTGATTATTGAGACCGGGGACGGTTTGCACAACATAGTTGCTGTGGGTGTATCTATCTTTTATGTTACTGACATTTCCACTGCAATACTGTCTAACAAAAGTTTTAAGAAGTTTATGTTCAAATGGCATGAGTTGTCCTGACCTCCTCCTCTCCCCTTGCCATTGAAGAGACATCTATATCTATTATGATTTTAACTAAAGGTTAGAGCTTACTGGTAAGCAAGACTTATATTAGAACAGACCACTGATAAGTATACTAAACAGCAAAAAAAATGTCAGTACGATTTCAAAACCATTACTAAATGAATCAAAGCAATTTTTTGTGAACAGTATGTTTACACATTAGTGGTTAATTCATCACAATTCCAAGACATTACAAGAAGGTTTAGAGTCTGTACACAGTCTATATATCAGTATCTGGTGTGTCCACCGCAAGTGTCAACAGCAGGGCAGCATCTGTACATGGAATGGACCAGACCAGATGATTGATGAAAGCCATTGGCACCTGGAACCACACTCTCAGAAAAGCCTGGTGCAATCCATCG